AGTGGGACTCTGGCCAAAGTGATTTCCCTCTCTGAATCACAAGGGTGTTCTGGAGCCAGCAGCTGTGGTTGTGGGAATCTAGGAGTCTGTGGCCAAAACAACGTGACCTTGTATGGCAAGGTGGGTCCTCAGTAACTCAGCAAGGTGTCCAGAGGTAGGCAGCCATGGATCCTGTTCAGGGAGCCATGTGACCTTGGTTGGAGAGGCACACACCTTATGGCAGTTCACAGAGGGGCCCAGGAGCCATATGGTGGAGCTGTGTGCTGGTGGGGCCCACACATTGGAGCTGCACGATCGATCGTGGTGTGCTGCTGACCCGGGGAGGGAGAAGTCCCAGTTTCTGCTTTTGCAGCTGTGCACCCTTGGTTGGATACGAGCGCCCAGCAGTGGCTTACAGAGCAACGTAGGAGTTACCTGCTGGAGTGGTGGGCTCTGGGGGCCCGAGTCCTGAAGCAGCGCTGTCATAGGGACTGGATTCTGGCAGCCAGGGTCATGCCTTATGGTGGCTCAGAGAGTTACCTGGGAGCCGCCTGCGGGACAGTGGACTCAGGGAGCCTGTGCGCCTGATCGGTGTGACTGAGGTGACCGGAAGGCAGCAATCGAGGAGGGTGAAGTCTGAGGTACTGCAGCCAGGGTCTTCTGCCCTTGATTGGATAGGAGTGCGCCCAGCAACTGCTCACAGAGGCACCAGGGAGCTGTCTGCTGGGGTGGCAGACTCAGGAGACCTGTGTGATGAAACCACATGACCACTGTGTCTCTGGGCAGTCAGCTAGGAATGGGGAAGTCCGAGTTTCTACTGCCGGGGCCGTGCATTCTTGTTTGGATACGTGAGTACCCAGCAGTGGCTCCCAGAGGCACCAGAGAGCCCTCTGCCAGGGCGGCTGACTCAGGGTGCCCGAGCACTGGTTCAGCGTGACCGCAGTTTCCAGAGGTCAGCAGTCAGGGAGGGGGAAGTCCCACTTACTGCTTCGGGAGCCATCCGCCCTTGGAGGTAGATGTCCTAGGGTCTGCAGGTCTGCGGTGAGGCAGTAGAACTTTGGCTGGTGTGGCTGCAGGGTCGCAAACAGTGTCCACGGCCAGTCTGGGTGGTGGTGCTGATGAGTTCCTAGAGGAGGCCCCTCTCCCCTTCAATATGGCATGGGCTCCCTCCTCGAGCCCCACAGCCCGGGGAGTGCCTGCAGTGGTGATAGGGGCTCCCTGTCCGGGAGAGCCTTTTCTGCCAGCCTCTGATACTCCTGCTGGCCCTCACTCATTCACACACACTACACACTCCCCTGTCACTTCCTCACTCAATCACACCCTCTCCCTCACCTCCTTCCTGCCAGCCACCATCTTCCCAGCTCCTTCTAGTAGAGCATTTAACCAGTTTGTGATTCTAAAGAGATTTCTTGTCTTCACATCAAAAAAAGGATAAATTTTAAAAATATATACTTTTATTGATTAGATAAAGCTGTCGGGCCCTGGGTAAGCATCATTTGGGGCTCAGTTTCTCATCTCTAAAACGTGAATAGCAGTATCAAGTATCCCATGGAGATTTTTTAAAAATATGTATTTTTATTCATTTCAGAGAAATATATTTTCATTGAAGGGAGAGGGAGAGACAGAAATATCAATGATAAGAGAGAATCATTGATTGGCTGCCTCCTG